CCCCAAAACCCCAAAACCCCAAAACCCCAAAACCCCAAAACCCCAAAACCCCAAAACCCCATATTTAAATCAGAGAATTGAAAATATCTTATAAAAATGATGCCAATCTCTAAACTTCATAAACATAAGGAGCATGATGTAATCCCTGCCACCTGCAATAGTCAAGATCAAGAAGAGCAAAGAACTGGATTTACCGGCAAACTGAATTCTCCTGAAGAGCACAGATTCCTTGAGTTAAAACTCCTAAATGGTTGATTTAAGGAGAGGGGAGTAAAGCACCATGTCTATAGCCTCCCTTATGATAAAACCGAGAGAAGAGGTATCTCAGTAGGAATCAGATTAGACCAGAGATGACAACAATCTGGTTTCCGAAGAACTCCATCTAAGAAATTTTATCAAAAGAATTTTAAAGACAAAAAATAACAGAGTTTCTGGTAATTTCACTTCTGATACAGAAGAAATGAATTATACAGCTAAGGATTTAGTAGAAAATCTGAAAAATGGAAAGTACAAGAATATTACAGTTCTAACCGGTGCTGGGATAAGCGTCAATGCGGGTATCCCTGACTTCAGATCTCCAAAGATTGGACTATATGCGACTCTCAAAGAGAAATACGGAATGGACGATCCAACTGAGATCTTTAGCTTACAAAGATTTATTAAAGATCCTACACTTTTCTACAATTTCTTCAGAGAGCAAGATTGGAATAGTTATAGCCCAACTCTTACTCATTATTTCATTGGTTTATTAGACTATAAAGGGTTGTTAAATGTCAATTACACTCAGAACATCGATGCCCTTGAACTAAAAGCAGGCATTTCTAAAGAAAAAGTAGTAGCCGCTCATGGAAATATGTCAGGAGCTCATTGCCCTAAATGCGGTCAGTCTAAGAATATCAAGACATTTGAAGAATATGTCAAAAGAGGAAAAATCTGGAGATGAAACAAATGCAAATGCCCTATCAAACCAACAGTTGTGTTCTTTGGAGAAAGTCTTCCTACAGAATTTTCCGAGAGCATGGACAAGATAAAAGAATCTGATTTAGGAATCATCATTGGGACTTCACTTGCTGTTTCTCCATTTAACAGCCTCCCAGAGATATTCCCAAGAGATACCAGTATTGTTACTATAAATAGAGAACCTATCAAGCATATTCCTGCTTTAGGCAGACCTAAATGTATCACTTTAGAGGGAGACTGTGATGATGTAATATCTAACCTGATCAAAGACCTTGGATGGGAGCAAGAGTTCAAAGAATTTATAGCTGCTCAAAAGGAAGTAGTCGAACACCTCAAGTCTTTAGAAGGTAAAATCTAACCAAATGTCAATTTTTAAGAAAAATCTCGGGGTTTTGGGGTTTTGGGGTTTTGGGGTTTTGGGG